GAGTTAACCTCACCTACTAAAAAAGTGTATCATTCGACGCGCCTACGCAAGGCAAGTACAATGATGCTAAAATCACGGCTCTGCTCTGCGGCCGTTTTTTTTTGCGAAGCCATTTTCCAAAAACCGAACCCGTATCCTGGTCCACTTGACCTGAACTTAGAGTTTACGGGTTGGCCTGAGACCTTAAAATTGGGTACTAATCGCTGCGTCTCGTAACGGCGCTGTTTCTGCGAGGCTCCAGCTCCATCAGATGCGAAACGGCGAGGGAGTGGGCTCTTAGCGGCCAACGTGGGCGCTTGACCGCCACTGAAGTTCCCTCAGAGGTCAGTGTAGGACGCTCAAAGACCGGTGTGGGAGCTATATTAACCCTCGCCGGACCTATTGGTTTTCTACATACGCGCTGGCCGAGGGGGGGTGGGTGCGACCCCCCTCGCCGTTTCGCCCCTGGTGGAGCTAGCGCGTCGCGGAAAAAACGAGCGTGTGCGCCGTTACGAGACGCAGAGATTGGTACCCGATTTTAAGGTCCTAGGTCAACCGGTGACCTCTGAGGTCAGGTCAAGTGCCCCATGGTACGGTGCAGTTTTTGGTGAATAACTTCGCAAAAAACGGCCGCAGAGCCGCAATTTTGGCAGCATCGTGTTCGCCTCGCTCAGGCGCGTCGAATGATATACTTTTTGTTCGGGTCAGGTCAACTTAGGGTGTTGACCTCAGGTCAAGGTCATGTCAGCACCCCCCAGGTCACGAAGTTGGTCGAAAGAGGTCATGTCGCATATCATTCGATTCGGCAGGTCTTCCTGAGTCCATTGGTGGCTTTCTTAACTCGCTAGCTCAATTTGATCGGGAGTTATTGACGAAAAACTAATATGACCTTGATGACGTCATAAATGACGTCACGGAAGGTCAACATTACAAAAGTGACGCATCTAACCTTGCAAGGAGTGCATCAAATCACGATTCTGTGTGCTTGAGATAGTTGGAGATCGTTCCCGGCGCCAGAATAGCAGTTTTCATTTTTCCCCATTGACTTATAATGGTGAGGTCACGAAAATGACCTGACCTCATATGACCTTTAGGAAAAATCCGAGAGATACAAGTTGTGAGACTCATAATGGATACTAGATCCTGCAAGTTTCATTTCCCTGTGACATCTCCTCTGGCAGTGAGGGCGTTGCGAAGTTGCGACATCTGAAGACCGTGCAGAGGTTCACTTATGACGTCATAGGTCAGTGACCTGACCTGACCCAAAAATGCGGTTGGTGTCAAAAGATGCGGCTTGGATCAAAGGTCAGTTATGCCAAGTTTCAGCTCTCTATCGCCAGCGTGTTCGGAGCTATCGCGAAAAAACCCTATGGGGGGGGCGGCACCCGCCCCCCCCCCTCGGCCGGCGAGGGTTAATAGCTTGGAGTGTTTTTTTTTTTTAGCCTCGTGACGATCGAATAAGGGCCAGGGCCCCATACACCTATGGAGACCCATCGGTTGTTTGAGGGGGGGGGGGGGCAAATGATATGATGGCCCCCTTTATTGGCCTTTGGGGGGCATGGCCCTGATGCCCCTCCCCCCACGCGACCGCCACTGTGTACACATTACACACAGGCCTCTGAGATTGCATACTAGCTCATGCAAACTCTATGCAGGCCCCGGAGGTCCCACGCTAATCCTTAACCCGCGCCCCGTAGGGCTACCGGCGGACCCTACCACCCGTAGGGGGGGGGGGAGCCGTTTCGGCACCCCCCCTAAGATCTCGGAAAGTTACCGGCCGATTTTCAAAATTCAAACGGCGCTCGATAGCCCCACCCCGGAACTACCTTGTGACCAAATTTCATTGACCTAGGTCAAACCGATGACGTCACAGGTCAGGTCAAAGGTCAGATTTTCACCGTTCACAGGCATTTCAAGAAATGTGTTGTGAAATCGAGTTAATTGGTAATTTATTGAAAACCATCGATGGTACGTTATTCGTCAAACACATACTTTGCTATCTGAGGTCACTGATACCAGGTCAGGTCACAGCGAGGTCAGGTCACCGGGGGTCACAATATGAAAGTTTCGTGTGATACATGTTTTATGGTCCATTTTACATGACAAATGCGATTATGTGAGTTAGGCAGCCTTTGGGGCCAGCCTAGGTCACGTTTTGGTGAAGGTTAGGTCAAGGTCAGGTCAAATTAGGTCAAATTTCAAAGTTGATATTTTTGCATAAAATAGGTATCGATTCGATGCATCGCATAATTATAAAATTTAATTTTATAATTAAAAATCAAAGCCTTATCAATTGCCTACAAGACCCTGTTAATATCATTTTGATACCAGAAAAGGAACCAGAGTTATAGACATTTAAAAATTGATGTGTGGCATTTCTGGCTATATTCGATGACTTATATCTCAGCGATACGTTATCAAATTTCGAAAATATTATACGTAACTCAGTTTTGAACCATGCCCAGTCTGCCTATAAATTTTCAGAAAAATCGAAGGGGATGACGGATTTCGGTGTTAGATTTGACGTGGAATGCCCCACACAGAGAAGACACACAAAGAATCACAGAATCACATACAAACCGTTACAAAAACACATGTTGTCTGACTATAGACACAGACGCACAAAACACACTCAGACAACAGACACAGGGACACACAGACCCCCCCCCCTCCCCCCACACACACAGGTCGGTCCTGCTCACCTGATATTCGCCGCCTCCGCCGTGGTCGGCTCCGGTGGACACTGGACAGGGCTCAGTACCGTCCACACACTGTTGGACCACCCACTCTGTCGACTGACCCGGCCGGTGGACGCAGCGCAGCTCGTGCCCCTCCGTCGGCCTTTGTCCCGGTCTGGACCGCTGCAACTGCGCAGTACGTTATTACCCCGGGGCGGGGCGCCGCTGAGTCATGGTACCGGTTAGCGCCGACCTCGGGCCGCTGGGCGACTGCAGCGCCCCTACCGGTCACTGGTGTCGTACTGTAACTAATGGGGAGCCGGGGCGTTCATGGAACACTTGAGATGTAAGCGCACAGTTGCCTCGTAAAGGCTAGTCAGCAACAACAACAAAATAAAATGGGAACTCTCTACATTCGTCTAGGACTTGGATGTCCGTGTTCCAATGGGCCTTGTCCCGTAGCGAGGAGACTCTAGCGTGCTCAGTGAGTCGGGGGCGCGGCGTTCCAGACTGATGACGTCAGCTGGCGGCCACCATGGTCTCGTGATAACACGGACCGGATGGCGGTGCAGCAGCCCCCCCTCACCCCTCCCCGGCCGTCTGGAACTCCCCCATCCCTCCGGACACCCCGTGCAGCTCGGTAGTGTAAACCATAGTGAGCAGCAGACATGTGCAGGGATGGAAGAGGTGGATCTATGATCTCAGTGGATATCTCGACAAGTTGGAGGGGTTGGACCTACATCTCATCCCTCGCCCGGTCAGGGGTTGGGGAGGGGGAGATAGATCAAACCCTCGCCCGCACATCGGGGGGGGGGGGTGGTGGTGGTGGTTGCCACCCCACCCACCCCCCAGGTATTCTTTCTGCTCTGCACTCAACATTGTTAGAGCTAGAAGTCTGATTTTTTCGAATAGCTGCTCCTCTATACTTTCTTGATACCCACTATAAATTTAAAGTTTCTGTGGTTTTTGGTTTCGGAGATATGAACTTGTTTTTTAGGCCATGTCATGACCCAACTGACCAATTCTCAACATCTTGCGTTGGCTATGGGCCTTGTGAGCATTTGACACCTTGCTTTCGGTCTTCTTTGCCAGTCTTACCTCCCACCTATCATGGAACATGTTGTTCGACGATGTACAGGGCCCTGTTCATGAAGTCTGCGGTCGCTGCGGCCGGCCGCAGGTTCTAAGCCCCGCCCACTTTTGAAACGTCATCATTCACTCGGCCGCAGCAGCGTTCCATGAACACCGTCAGCTGCCGAAACAGTTTCCGATAATTGCGCGCTTGAGACGATTACTAATCAATAGTTTCCACGCGCTTCTTTTATCTGTGTATCCATTCTTGTGATGAAAAGGGCGTTTCTCAAGGCCGTCTGGTGTTTCTGTATTTTTGTAAGTGGGTCACATAAATGATTTGGTATTGTTTTCATTAAATCGTAGCACAAATAACTTAAGTCTAAAATTAAATCTCATATTAAAGCATTAATCTAATTTTTAGGTATCATGGCATGCAACACCGGACGGAATGAATTTGTTTATAACATCGTCTCCATGGCAACACAGCCTACACTTTGACTTCAGTGCGCCAAGATCAGTGCAATTACTTTCTTGCGGCTCGGCGGTCGCTGGATTGCGGCCGCAGAGATCGCAGCGGCCGCAGCAAGGTGACGTCATACATTCGTCATACTACATGAGCCCCGCCCCTTTTTGTGACGTAACAACCCGGCTGGCCGCAGCGACCGCAGCGGCCGCAGCGACCGCCGGGGTTCATGAACAGGGCCCAGATGTCAAGGTCAGGATCAAGGTCAACCTAGACCATCTAAAGTAATTGCGTTTTAGGCAAGTTGAATTTACTTTTCGTGAAGTTTTTTTTTTTTACTGCATTTTTGGTAACAGCTACTCAGATCATGATTTTATGTAATATGGACACATAAACAATCGGTGCACACATCAGTATACACACAGACACACACAGACATACAAACACATATCAGTGTTTTTGTGAAACGGGTTTAGGCTAACTTTTCGTTAGCCTAAACCCGATTTTCAATTTATTTTCATTTACCCTAACTTTTTGGATAGCATAAATTAAAACTAGTGTATTTTGATAGGAACAGCCCAGATCCGAGTTTATACTAACTTTGGAGCACGTTAGCCTAAACCAGATTTACCCTAACACGGCCAATTAAACGATTCTGTTAGTTCATATTTTATCCACCAAAGTTACCTTCATATGTAGTCTGACAATAGACACAGACGCACAAAACACACTCGACAACAGACAACAGACACAGGGACACACAGACACACCCCCCACACACACACACACAGGTCGGCCCGGCTCACCTGATATTCGCCGCCTCCGCCGTGGTCGGCTCCGGTGGACAGGGCTCAGTACCGTCCACACACTGTTGGACCACCCGCTCTGTCCACTGACCCGGCCGGTGGACGCAGTGCAGCTCGTGCGGCTCCGTCGGCCTTTGTTCCTGTCTGGAACTGCGCCGAACATCAACACCCCGAGTCGGTGTGTCGGCAGAATCGATCGTGTTCAGTGAGTCGGCGGCGCGGTGTCCTGGCCTGATGACGTCAGTGGGGGGTCACCAGGGTTACAGGGACAACACGGGCCGTCGGTCGATGTGCAGTCCCCCCACCCCACCCCTTCCCTCCCCTTCCCTTCCCCAGTACCCAGGACAACTCATGCAACTCGGCAAAACAAAACATAGTGACGAGCAGACATGTGCAGGGATGGAAGAGGCGGGTCTATGATCTCAGCGGATATCTCGACAAGTTGGAGGGGTTGGACCTACATCTCATCCCTCGCCCGGTCAGGGATTGGGGAGGGGGAGATTGATCAAACCCTCGCCCGCACATGGGGTGGTGGTAACCACCTTCCCCCCCCCCCCCCCCCAGGTAGTCTTTCTGCTCTGCACTCAACATTGTTAGAGCTAGAAGTCTGATTTTTCGTAAAGCTGCTCCTCTATCCTTTCTTGAAGTTTCTGTGGTTTTTGGTTTCGGAGATATGACCTTGTTTTTCAGGTCATGTCATGACCCATATGACCAATTCTCAACATCTTGCGTTGGCTATGGGCCTTGTGAGCTTTTCGCACCTTGCTGTCGGCTTTTTTTGCCAGTCTTACCTCCCACCTATCATGGAACATGATAATCGACGATGTACAGATGTCAAGGTCAGGGTCAAGGTCAGCCTAGGCCATCTAAAATAATTGCGTTTTAGGCAGGCTGAATTTACTTTTCGTGAAGTTTTTTACTGCATTTTTGGTAAAAGCTTCACACATCATGATTTCATGTAATATGGACACATAAACAATCGGTGCACACATCAGTATACACACAGACACACACAGACATACAAACACATTTAATTGACCTTGACCTAACTTGACCTGAAATGACCTCAGCAGCAAAAACCTGGTCGGATAGTGTGACAAAGAGGTTCTAGCTGGCTTGGCACCAGAAAACGGCATCGTCATCGGTATATGATAAGCAGCGCACTTGATATCCAACGGTGACCCAAAACAGCAACATTTTTTAGTTTGACCTGACCTGGAAGGTCAATGACTGACCTGAGAAGGTAAAACTGGGTATCATTGGATTCGTCTCTTCCCAAAGAATCTTTTTGGTCTTTAGCGCTAAGCTCTATCTCCAACAGGAACTAAATGGCGCGGGGGGGGGCAACGGTGACGAGCGTTAAGCGGGAGGGGGGGGGGGGAAATGAAAAGCTTTTATACATAAATAAGTAAAAGTCTATTCTTGAATGAAATGGAAACGGTTAAAATGCAAAAAATATGGGGTCACAAATGCGGTTCACTGAATCGTTCTCGTATGGCCACGTCGGCCTTGTCGTACGTAAGGCCGCGTCGGCCACGTCGTATGACACCGGGCCGTCGCGCACCGGTGGAGTCCCGTCGAAGACTGTCGGGCCCCCGTCCCGTCTCAGCCCTCGTGGTAGCACAACACGTGGGCCTGAGAACCAGGACAGGGGCCAGATGCAGGGCTGCGGAGTCGATGGATTTTCGGCGACTCCGACTCCGACTCCGACTCCGGCTTTCAAAAACCAGCTCCGACTCCGACTCCGACTCCGGGCAGAATTGTCGACTCCGACCGACTCCAACTCCCGACTCCGACTCCGCAGACCTAGCAGGGCTGCGGAGTCGACAGATTTTCGGTGACTCCGACTCCGACTCCGGCTCGGGTTTCTAAAATCGACTCCGACTTCGACTCCGACTCCGGTCACAACTGTCGACTCCGACCGACTCCGACTCCGACTCCGACTCCGACTCCGCAGCCCTGGCCAGATGACACATATGTGCCCGGCGCGGCGCGGCGGACCGACCGCCGCGCTCCGAGCGCCGGCCGTCTTTGCGAAAATACCTAAAAATACCAACGTATTTGCTCGCTAACACCAAGGTTTACCAATGTTGAACAGGAGGGACATTTTTATTGGTCCATCTAGTACCTACCCTTTAAATATCGTGTTTCTAGATGTCATATAAGTCAATCGCCAGGGGGTCATACACCCGCCTCCTGGCCGCTCGCATTAGGAAAAACGCTCTGGCATTGAGAAGAATCTGACACACCTACAGCGTTATGTCAGACTTACAGCGAAGTGTTACTGTGTATTGCTGGGACCGTGACATTTTACACCGAGTCATGTCATCTTGCATATCAAAACGATGTATTTCAAAACGAACAAAAAGTAGCTGTTCAAACTACCTATGTATCAATGGGGAACGTTCCGGCTGGGGACGGCTGGGGACGTACCGGCTGGGGCCGTACCGGCTGGGGACGTACCGGCTGGGGACGTACCGGCTGGGGACGGCTGGGGACGTACCGGCTGGGGACGTACCGGCTGGGGACGGCTGGGGACGCATAGTCTCTCTTGAAAGTATCGCGTCATGCGCTGCGGCGGCTCGGCGAACTATTCCATTCAGTTTGAGGACCCCAGCAGTGAGGTCATGGCCTGTATCATGAAAAGTACGCTCTAGCACGATCCTACGCCAGCGGTAGAAGGAAACTGCTATATGACGCAGGCACCAGCGGCTGACAATTGGGTCGAGGCAGGTGGAGGCCGGCCAGAGGTCAAGCTCGTATCGCTCTCCGTTGACCCGGTCCACCGCCCCCGGCGGATACCTGTGCCGCTTGGCTTCACCAGCCGAGTGCTCATGGTGGGCGCCCACCACGTGACGCGTGAAATCGCAACGGAGAGCAAAGCTCCGCCATAGCCCTACTCTGAAAGGCTCTCTGAACGACTTTACAAATTACAGGTCATGGGAGGGGGTGGCGTGCAGCCTGGCATTTTTTTCTATGCCGCCACCCATTAGCAGGTGACCAGGAGTGCCCCATCCCTCTATCCCAGCGACACACAGAACCTTACGTTAACACCATAATAACTTAAAATTGCACGTCGCGGCACTCCCTGCAAGGAAATGAAATGTAACATAAAAAAGCAGAAAGGAGAAAGCCATACGAATTAGGGGAACAAAAAAGAAGCAAAGTAGTCAACACTGCAATCAGTGGTGACTGCCCACTACTGAAAGCCCCCAATTTATCAGCACACTCACACATTCATTACATTCATAACATTCATACACGTTGGGGAAAGTGTCCAAGTCCACTGAGGCAGTTTAGTTTGAGGGGGATTCACAGTCATAGCCAAGTCATCATCAAACTCTGGTCAAACTCAGCGTATGTCAGCAGCAAGGTAGCCCGGGCTCCCAGAGCACCCAACGAAGCGAGGCTTGTTGTCGGGCGCTCCAAGATCCCAGGCCGCCAAACAGATGGGGTGGCATATTACAGTATCATGCACACATCACACTTACACACTCATTTACACAAATAAATGATATGCACAAATCCATGTCCACAAATCCAAATCCATCCATCCATGCACAAATAAATGCGGTGCGAGCGACTTTAGCGAGTGTCATTCGAGCGAACGTCATTTGAGCGAACCATTTTCAGCGAAGGCAATTCAGCGATTATCAAGTTAAGCGATTATCAAATATAACGATTATCAATTTTAGTGAAAGCTATGTTTCAGCGATACCTATTTCGTCGACTACAATGTGAGCGACTGTCAGTTCAGCGAAACACTTCATCGTCCTATTACGGTGTATTTTTTTTTTTACTTTTGCCAGCGCATACGTATAATAGTAAAGTAACCTTGCGTACGAAAGTTTTCGGAGTTTCTCATGGTTATCTGGAACTGGATGGCGGATGTCACGTTCTAAGGTCAGACATTGAGTTCCAAATTTAATGCTACATTTCTAAAAAAAAATCAACGGTTCAATTTCACTACCCTGCTCTTTGCCAATCATGGTGACCAAACATTTGTTCAGAGATTCATATCGCTTGCGCTGTTTTTCACGAAATTCCCCCGCTTGAATTTGGATCAGTTCCCATGTTTAAATTTTGTTCTTGCCCCAAGCACCGTACAAATTTCCAGGTATTTGGGTGAGGTCCCTGAAACATAGACTGGATTTCCCTGTGCCATCTCTCGAGTTTATTATTGGTCCTTGGCATTCCTTCCGTCGTCCTATCTCTCACATTCCACATTTTCAATTCAAATTTTGCCCGCCTCCTTCCCCTCCCACCCCTTCAGGGGGATGTCGTCCCGGTTCTTCCCATGTATTATTCGCCAATCAGCTTAACACTACCGGTGACGTCACTGGTGGACCGCCAATCGGGGCCGACCGGCCGGGCCCGTAGAAGGCCAGACGCAGACGTTTTCAGAAAAGCGTAAGCCGTATAGATACAGTCGTGGATGGAGTTTTGCTGTGATTCGGCTCTCCAAGAGTGCGTCAGGGTATGTACCAGGACCCGGACAAAGGTCATAGTGAACCGGCATCTGATAAAATCCGCTCACCACTTATCAGCCGACTTCGACCCTTCACCCTTGTACAACACAAAAGCCTGCCGGTCATCAATCCACCTGCATCTCTGCATCTGCTTACTACCTATATCGACCAGTTACTGCAGCCGTTTTGGAGTGGCTCACGGCCGATAACACACCAGGCGTGCGCTAGCCGCCGGTGCTAAGCGCTAACCACTGATTGCGCGTGGCCGACTGCCGCCCCGATGGCGCTGGCCCCCGGCAGCGCATTTACAAACTGTATACACGCCTTCGGAGCGCCAATCATATTGCACCAGCCGCTGGCGTGACGTCGGCCATGACGTCAGAGAAGGGGCGGAGCGAAGCTGGTTAGCCAGCTGTTTTCACAGCGCGGCGGGCGGCGCAGTGCGGCGAGCGCGCGATTTTGTTTGTAAACAATCGTTGCCAAGGCCGTATTGGTATAGATGGTTGCAGCGTGATTGATTTTGATTGTTTGATAGATGGTTGCAGCGTGATTGATTTTGATTGTTTGATTGATGTGATGCGACGAGTATCATGGATGAGGATACTTACAATAGCATAATTGGTAAACACAGTTGCCTGCAAAATTTGAATGTCAATCAGACCGCTCGTTCACCAAGCGCCTGTGGCCAAGTGGCTATGATCCGCGCACATCACCTAGAGGAGCCGAGTTTGATTCTCGGGGCGGCGAGTTTTTCTCATGAGCTCCGACGTCTAATTGAACGGTTTTACGTAAGCCTATAAGTAATATAAAGCAAACCCCTCTTATTGACGAACGCGGTTGGCGGCTCACACGCATGTTGCAGGTCAGAGTGGGTGTTATGAAACGACGCGTCTCGACCATCTCCGTGTTGTTTGCTAGGTGTGCACGCTGTCAGTGCACGGGTTTTGTGCATTTCGCCGAAAATCATTCTGGATTCTAATGAAATCGGACGTCTAAATAGGCCGACTCGGAGGCGCTCTGAACGGCAGACGGCTCAAAAGATCAACTTGAAACTTATACGCCCGTCTAGCGGCATCGATTTTGGCGAGGCACTTTTCGGATCTCTAACTATGCTCCAAATTGCCGAAGATCCGAAAAGTGCCTCGCCAAAATCGATGCCGCTAGACGGGCGTATAAGTTTCAAGTTGATCTTTTAAGCCGTCTGCCGTTCAGAGCGCCGCCGAGTCCGCCTATTTAGACGTCCGATTTCATTAGAATCCAGAATGATTTTCGGCGAAATGCACAAAACCCGTGCACTGACAGCGTGCACACCTAGCAAACAACACGGAGACGGTCGAGACGCGTCGTTTCATACCACCCACTCTGACCTGCAACATGCGTGTGAGCCGCCAACCGCGTTCGTCAATATGGGGTTTGCTTTATATTACTTATAGGCTTACGTAAAACCGTTCAATTAGACGTCGGAGCTCATGAGAAAAACTCGCCGCCCCGAGGATCGAACTTGGTCCCTCTAGGTGATGTGCGAGGATCATAGCCACTCGGCCACAGGCGCTTGGTGAACGAGCGGTCTGATTGACATTCAAACTTTGCAGGCAACTGTGTTTACCAATTATGCTATCGTAATTATAAGTTGGTCTTTCGGATGAACTATTTTCCCAAACAAGATCAGGGGTTTTAGCTAGTTGTAAATATTCAACACAACATTACAATTTCTCATCGAGTAGGTAAGCTCCACGATCCGCGAGTCTTCCGCTCCGCCCCTGCACTTGACGTCACCTGCCAAGCGCCGCTACAGCCTTTCACTCCGCCCATTGGCATGACGTCACGGCTCGGTCTCCGAAGACGTGTATACAGTTTGTAAATTTGCCCCCCGGCACCGGCGCGGCGCTGCTGACCCATGGAGGGGGGGGGCTGATAATTAGTTGAGCCGGAATTGGGATAGAAGCCGGTATGGGATTGGGATAGAAACTCAGCGAGACTAAGGGATTGTGTGGTGCCCTCGGTACGCCCCTCAAAATCACCCGTGTAGGGCCCTCAGGGCCGCCGGTTATGAAGCCTTTGGAGGTTATGAAGCCATTTCGAAAATTTTCTTGACCTGAACTTCGAAACAGCAACAGCACAACACAAGCAAGAGCCACATTTGGCTATCGATTCTACTCACTCGTGGCAGGACGTTGAAGACGAAGCTTCTAGGGTACCCTCGTCTGAAAGGTAGTGGACGGCCCTCCTCGTTCAGCCGTCACCTCGGCCCAGAGACGGCGGTCTGAGGAAGCGTCCTCACCCGAGCACCGTGACCACTGGAAGCGCTCGTCGCCGACGCCAGTCCCACTATCTCCTCCAGTTCCGGACCCTCGGACAGTAGAGGCGATGGCACAGCGCGCTAGGCGGCAAAATCGCCCCTAGGCGCAACTCCGCAACAAGAGGACACTGACGCACGAGTCGGTCGCTGCGCGGCGTTACGGTCCAAGGCGGACATGAGAACAGGTGGCGCCGCCGCCACTCGCATAACGGCGGGAATGTGAACTAACCTGTTTACCATAAGGCCGCTGTGCTAACGGCCGCTGCGGGCGCCGTTTCGGGCTAGTTTTGACTTTGTACCGCAATTAATGGTTTATTTATAATAAAAAATGGACTAGCGAGAGTCGTGCCGGAATCAGAATTCAATGTTCTACAAAACTAAGCCATTTTCATTGTGATCACGTCATCGACTTCACCGCCCAACCCAATAAAGCAGAAATATGTCGTGTCACCGGTGATTACACGCAAAAATTCTTTGGCATATAGCATAAAAACCAGAACACCTTTGACTGCAGCGACTATGCGGTACTACAGAAAATTGTATGGCCTACCTAATGGTGCCCATTACTTAATAATTAAGCTGAGTATTTCGTCGCCTAACTCTTGTAAAACCGTATGTCCGCTTGTCTATGGAGTTTGGACCGTAACGGGGACCACATCCTGGGCGGCTATCTGCAGCGGAGGGGCTGAAAACATGTCAGCCCGGACGGACGGACGGCGCCTCGGCCCCGCACCAGTGTCTCCCGGGCAGACACACTGAAAAACAATTTGAACACCGTTAACTGGGTAAGTGGTTATTCTGCATACCGGAGCTTTTATATACCCAATAATGGGTGTTCAGGGAGCGTTAGACACCTTTAACCCTCGCCCGCACATGCCATTTTCCCATCCTAGAACGCACATGGGGGGGGGGGGGTGGTTGCCACCCCCCCCGCCATTTCGTTCCTGTTGGAGATAGAGCTTAGCGGTAAAGACCAAAAAGATTCTTTGGGAAGAGACGAATCCAATGATACCCAGTTTTACCTTCTCAGGTCAGTCATTGACCTTCCAGGTCAGGTCAAACTAAAAAATGTTGCTGTTTTGGGTCACCGTTGGATACCAAGTGCGCTGCTTATCAAATACCGATGACGATGCTGTTTTCTGGTGCCAGGCCAGCTAGAACCTCTTTGTCACACTACCCGACCAGAATTTTGCGGCTGAGGTCATTTCAGGTCAAGTTAGGTCAAGGTCAATTATATGTGTTTGTATGTCTGTGTGTGTCTGTGTGTATACTGATGTGTGCACCGATTGTTTTTGGGTCCATATTACATGAAATCATGCTCTGAGAAGCTTTTACCAAAAATGCAGTCAAAAAAATTCAAAAAAAGTAAATTCAGCTTGCCTAAAACGCAATTATCTTAGATGACCTAGGTTGACCTTGACCCTGACCTTGACCCCTGTACATCGTCGAACAACATGTTCCATGATAGGTGGGAGGTAATACTGGCAAAAAAGGCCGAAATCAGGGTGTCTAAAGCTCGCAAGACCCATGGCCAACGCAAGATGTTGAGAATTGGCCACTTGGGTCATGACATGACCTGAAAAACAAGGTCATATCTCCGAAAAAAAAATCACAGAAACTTGAAATTTTCAGTGGACATCAAGAAAGGATAGAGGAGCAGCTATACCAAAAATCAGCGTTCTAGCTCTAAGAATGTTGAGTGCAGAGCAGAAAGTTTACCTGGGGGGTGGCAACCACCCCCCCCCCCCCATGTGCGGGCGAGGGTTAACCCGCGCCCCGTAGGGGGGGGGGCCGAAACGGCCCCCCCTGTCCTTTTCGGTCGATATCTCCTAAACGGCTGGAGATATCGCCACCAAACTTTCAGGACCCCTCCGGGCATCAATTTTACACATTGTGACCAAAAATTTTCCAGAGGCTGTGATAGGTTGGCCACAAATGACGTCAGAGTGACGTCATGTTCTGTCATTTTCGACCGAAAAAAGACCTTCGCGAGAAGACCTGTCAGGCCTACAGCTTTGAAGATACAGAAAAATGATCAATACATAAAAGGTGTAGAATTGACAGGGCTACAAAACTGCTATCTCGGATTTTTGAAATTTTTGAGTTTTGATCCCCAAAAATCAAAAAAGCATTTTTTTGGATATATTAGCCAAAAAATCCAAAAAGTTTTTTGAGTTTCGAAAAAACCGGAATATATGTGATAGTACCTACCGTCTTCTATCTACATACCAAATTTCAGATCGATACCTCGTTTTTTGGCCAAGTTATAGCGAAAAAAACTGTTCAAAAATGATGACGTCAAATTTTCAAACTCAATTTTTGGCAATTCTAGAACTCGTAGAGCAAAACGAAAACCACCATTAGACTCCCCGTGACGAGCTGCATCGAATGGATACCCATTTTATGCAAAAATATCAACTTTGAAATTTGACCTAATTTGACCTGACCTTGACCTGATCTTCACCAAAACGTGACCTAGGCTGGCCCCAAAGGCTGCCTAACCCACATAATCGCATTTGTCATGTACGAGGTGTGGCTAAAAAGAAACCGGACTGCTCGTGCTGGCCATAAACTAGAGGACCCGAAGACTAGCGAGACACTTGGCATTAATCTTTAGCATATTGCCGTGATGTGTGCCAAACGGCATCTCGATATCGCAATTATTCTCCTTCCCACAGCTCTTTGTTTTATCGATGTTCGGCGGCCTTGTCATCGCCAGGCTTCTACAATGAACTTAGAAAAAAAGAGGGAACATCACGTTCCTTGCCAGACTGGAGAAAAGTCCAACAAAGACGCTGAATCTGTTCAAGGCTGTTAATGAGGAGCAAGTCATGTTGTAACATGCAAGTGTTTGAATGACATACGAGGTTCAGCACTGGTCGTGAGGATGTCGGTTATGACCCAAGGTCTGGAGGTCCATCAACGTCCGCGTGCATGTCGAAGTCGAGAGTGGTGATGACATTGATCGTCTTTTTCGATCATAGGGGATTCGTTCACCGCTAGTTCGTGCTGGAGGTGTACCACAGTCGACCAGCCACTTCTACAAGGAAGACCTGGGACGCCTCATTTCACGAGTCAGGCGCACCAAGTGGAGTTTCTGGGAAGCCAAGAACTGGGTGCTCCATCATGACAACGTTCCCGCGCATTCTGCCATTAGCGTCCAGCAGTTCGTTTCCGAAAAGCAGGTCACGGTGCTCAAGCACCCTCTTATTTGCCAAGCCTCTCTCCCTGTGACTTTTGGCTGTTCCCTGAAATGAAAAACGTCGTTAAGCAAACCCATTTTCAATCAGTCGAGGACATCCAGACCGGAGTGACCAGCGTCAGCGTCATCAATAAAACAAAGAGCTGTGGAAAGGAGAATAATAGCGATATCGAGGTGCCGTAAGGCACACATCACGACAATATGATGAAGATTAATGTCCAGTGTCTCGCTAGTTTTCAAGCCCCCTACTTTATGGTCAGCACGAGCAGTCCGGTTTCTTTTTAGCCACACCTCGTAAAATGGACCATAAAACATGTATCACACGACACATTCATATTGTGACCCCCGGTGACCTGACCTCGCTGTGACCTGACCTGGTATCAGTGACCTCAGATAGCAAAGTATGTGTTTGACGAACAATATACCATCGATGGTTTTCAATAAATTACCAATTTACTCGATTTCACAGCACATTTCTTGAATTGCCTGTGAACGGTGAAAATCTGACCTTTGACCTGACCTGTGACGTCATCGGTTTGACCTAGCTCAATGAAATTTGGTCACAAGGTAGTTCCCGGGTAGGGCTATCAAACGCCGTTTGAATTTTGAAAATCGGCCGGTAACTTTCCGAGATCTTAGGGGGGGCCGAAACGGCCCCCCCCCCCTCTACGGGTGGTAGGGTCCGCCGGTAGCCCTACGGGGCGCGGGTTAACCGTGTATGACAGGCTTCATGACACTGTAATAAGTGTCACAGTACACATTTAAAAGTGTCTGACACTCATCATACACTGCAAAAACACCCCACCCCGTTTTTAACCCTCATCATGTAGGGAGGGGTTGGTGCAACCCTCCCCCCTGAGGTTTTTCTTAGCTACACGCCGAACCGTTTCAGATAGCCCGCTCAAATGTTCAGTACCCTTTGGGGCATCCTTTGCGCAACTTTTGGTATTTTTTTTTGTCAAGGTCATGTCAGGTCACGGAGTTATGACGTCATAAAGGGAACAACCTCCGGCCAGATTTACGCTAAATTGGAGATTGCTTAACAATGGTATAAATGCCGACTGACCTGACACACTGATGGATTGTTTTAGAATCATAACTGGCTGATTTGACATTGGCACAATGTCCGTTGACCTTTTCAAGGTTACTTAACCCGCGCACCGACGGGGGTCTGCGCCAACTTAGTACCGACGGGGGGGGGGCGGATGACCGCCCCCCCTGAGATCTCGAGAACGAAGCAAGATAGCGACAAGCGGTAAACGGCATCGGATACGCACGGACAAGGTCTACAATTTTTACAAAGGTCATTTTCAGGTCAGGTCAAAGATGACGTCACAGGGGTCGAAAAAGTCAAAATGGCGGCGCTAGATATGGAGAGGGGTTTTCTCGAATAACTTTCGAAGTAGTCAAGATAGGAACAAACTAAGGGCATCATCGTGATCCTCTCGTCAATCCGCATCGAATGATATATATATGTTGACCTCGAAAGGTCAAGGTCAAAGGTTGACCTCAGGTCACGTGACCTCGAGGTCATCATGTATATCATTCGATGCGTCTTGACGAGCTGAACACAATGACACCATCCGCGCGGCTGTATCTTGTTCCTGTAAGGAGTTATTGGCAAAAAACCTTTGGTGACCTTTGATGACGTCACATGACCTTACAGCTGCCCAACAGCAAAACAGACCTCAAGGTAGTGAAGGTTGATCGTATGTGAAGTCATGTATGGTATATGGGGCCATTCCGACCCGTTTTAGTGGTAAATACAGGGAGTTGATTTTTCCCCCATTGACTTATAATGGGGAGGTCGCGAAATTGACCTGACCTTAGGTCACCGACATCAAAATTCCGAGATATACAAATTGTAGCTACTAATGACCTAATAACATCCTGCGACTTTCAAAGGCCTCCGACATCTACTGTAGCTCTGGCACGGTGACAAAGTTGCAAAAAAGTGACTTGAGGTTGGGTCATTCAAAGTGACCTGGTGACCTGACCTTAAAAGTTAGGAGGTTCAAACTTGCACACCATGTGTAAAATTGATGAGAGAATAGTCATATTAAATTTCGCGGCGCTACGCGCCGCGGTTTTTCCGCTATCCGCGAAAAACCTCAGGGGGGGGGGCGGATATCCGCCCCCCCCCCGTCGGTGCGCGGGTTAAGGTCAAGGTCAGGTCAGTGACCTCGGTTGACCTGTAATGACTTCTTGCACTTGTATGCCTTTTCGGGGTATTTTGATGCCCTGAATTCGAATTTGCTATCCATTTCAGGCATCGTCAGTTGTTTCTTGTAGTTCATTTTGGGTCAGGGTCAGGTCAGTGACGTCACACGCCTGACGTGACCCAATGCACAAATGACCTTGCAGACTTCCGATGCTCCCAACGCATCATTTTTAGAGTTATGACATCGAAATACACACCAAACGATAGAGAATTGATCAAGGATCACGATAGTGAAGATTTCAAGTCGATATCTCTTACCCTTTTGCCGCAATCGGCGCGGAAATCTGAAAAAGTTAGATTTTTCCGAAAATTTGACCTTTGACCGGTCATAAGTAGGTCAAATGTTGACCTACGACCAAAAAATATACCACCAATCGCGAGATCTCGTTGAGAGCAATCCGTTGGTCTTTTCCGCTAAGCTCTACGACGCTCCGTTTTCAAACGCCAGGGGGGAGGTCGCACCAACCCCCCCTGCATGGGCGAAGGTCGCAAAACACCGTTTACGGGCGAGGGTTAAATTTTCTCAGTGCAATATACGATAATACTAAACAATGTTTCATGGCTGCGACAACTGAGTTACATGCAAAACAGCTATCGCAACGCGACCCAAATCGTAGCCACATGAGACTCAAGAAAGGCACGAAGACTCGCCAATTAGGACCTCAAATGCTTTCATTTTGACCGCCTATATCACAGAACGGATATTACACACAGGACGGCCGGAACAGCCAAATGTGGTGAGGGAAACGACTAAGGAAACCGCCGTCTCCGGGATGCACTCAGATAGATCTCTAACGATTTGAATGAAATCGTTCCTTTCAAAGACTGAGTCAGGCTTGAAGTTACACTGAAAAAAAGTAATAATGCCTGTGGGGAATTTTTGGGGTATCGGACACCGTTATGACACCCGTGAGGGTGTACGTTCTGCTAACATATACCTCACAGATCTTTATATAACTCCTAATAAACATTCTTAGGGTGTATTTGGATTGTCAGATACCCCAAAAACACCCATGCAAAGTGTCAACTTCATTATTAAAGGGAGTTTGTGAGGTGTACAAAACTAAGCCAACACCTTTAAGAGTGTCAGTTTGATATTTGACACCTACATAATGCCAGCATTACTCCCCACAATAATTTTACAGGTATATGGAAGGTGTAGAAAAATCCCATTTACATATTTCAACAGTGTTTAAGGGGTGATAAACACCGTTCATATTACCATCGTACTACCTTGACGACTTTTTGAGGAATATCCCTCGCCCTGGCAGGGCATTTTTCATAACACGGCCTGGCAGGGGGGGGGGGGTCGATGCGACCCCCCCTCGCGATTGGCTCCTATGGCATCTAGAAACACCAAATTTGGTAGGTAGGTGGGCCCCCTAGAGTTCTCGCCCCTGTGCAAATTTGGTTGCTCTTGGTCAATATTTACGGGGTTTTGGGGGTATAAATGTCAAAATTTCGCTAAAAACAGGTCAAAAGTTTTTCGCCTATAACTATAGATGTAATTAAGATAGAGCAAAAAGAAAAGCACCAGTGAACTCAGCACGTCAAGGCGCGTCAAATGATGTACTTTTAAGCTTGCTTAATTGTACCTAAAGTTTTTCTTAATGTTTAAGTAAACTTTAATTAATAAATTAAGTTAAAGTTAACCAAATTGCATCATATCGCATATCATTCGATTTGGCTGATCAGCAGGAACACAATGACACCATTTTTAAGCTTTAGCGTCATTATGTGCCAAGTAATTGGCAAAAACGTCATTTGACCTCAGTTCAGTGGCGCGGGAACCGGGGGGGCTAGGGGGGGGGGCTGAGCCCCCCCAGCTTTTCGGCTGGGGGGGCTCGTAATGTATTTGAGCCCCCCCAGCTGGAGGAATCGAAATCGGAAATCTACCAACATAATTTCATAGATTCATACATAGGCGTGGGAACCGGGGGAGGGGGCAGTGGGGGAAGCTTGCCCCCACAACTCTGCGGCCGTGGGGGCGGTGCCCCACAACGTTTCATGAGGCCAGGAACCGTTGGGCAGCTTGTCCTCCCCAAATTAGGGGTTGTGGGTCACAAAGGAAGAAAGCATGTAAGTGAAAAATCCACCTATTTCATGGCTCGGCAACTCATTTGGCAGATTAAAACCTTTACTCCAGGTTGCCAAAACGATAGTTTCTTCACTCAGCTGAGACGGAATACCTCACTTTTTGAAAATGTTTTCGTTTTTTTTTTTTTTGTTGTTGAAAAGGCCAAGGTCTGAAAAATAAGTGGCCTAAAACCGGTGAGAAAACTAGATTTGGGGGTACCCTAGGTTGATTTCTATTATGGTTCAGCCCCCCCAGTCTGGAAGAAGTTCCCGCGCCACTGCCTCAGTTGACCTCATTTGACCTGACCCATGGATAAGTACACCAAACAAAGAAGCACCAAGTGACCTGCTGTTAAGTAATGTGGTTTTAAAGCACAAAAGTGATAAAACGAAGCGGATATCTCCAGTATTTTCCGAATTTAGTATTTTCCCTTAGGCTTAACATTACGACGTAATGACCTCTAACTGACCTCAGGTCAGTGACCTAAAAAAACCGAACCATATGTTATACAACTCGGTGAACTTAGCACATCCTGAAAGTTTGAAGGAAATCAGTCAAAAACTGTGAGTTGGACAGCTGCAAAAAGAAAATTGAAATTTGACCATAACCTTGTACCGGTTTTTCTGACCTGGTGACTTGACCCAAGGTCACCCGGACCTGAAATTTTCAGGTCATATGTAAAAAGGCTGCCCCATAGGCTGTGCCATATTTGGCGGCGCTGCGCGCCGCCGTTTTTACGCAATCTTTGAAAAACCTTAGGGGGTCGCATCGACCCCCCCTGCCAGGGCGAGGGATATGCTAGGTGTAAATCGCTTGATAAAACCCATGAAGGTTGTCAAAAGATAATGGTAAAACACTTGTTGTGAACATCTGCAGTGTCAGACACCCCTGAAACACCTCAAATAGTGTACGTTCTGCTGATACGGACACCTTAACCCTCGCCGGCACAGGCCATTTTGCGTCCTTCGACGGCACAAGGGGGGGTTGGTACGACCCCCCTCGCGTTTGGCCCCTGATCGAGCTAGAGCTTCGCGAAAAAAAAAACGAGCGTGTTGCCCGTCACGAGACGAAGCCGATGATAACCAATTTTAAGGTCCTAGGTCATCGGGTGACCTTCCAGGTCAGGTCAATGACCCGAAAACCGGGAAAATCGGGACCTGTTAGAAAGTCGTAAATTGTGGCTGCTATGTGGTTTTCCGGGGTGCTGATCACGAATATTGTGTTAGTTTTGATCAGAGATGATGTCTTTAAGCATTTAGACCAGGTCGGGTCAGGTCAGGTCAGGTCAACCGGTAGGGGTTGTGACGGGTATTCGTAATACGTCTCAACCGCCTCTGACAGCTTCGTAACATGTTACGAAGGCACCAAAATTACTTCGTCAATGTTCAAATGGTTGCCAAATTCGAATTCAGCTCCAAAAACTAGCCTAGAAACATGCAAAACTCGAAAAAGTGAGCCGAGGTCACCCGAGGTCACCAAAGGTCAATGACCTGACCTGACCTTCAGGTGACCTTGACACCCACCCTAATGTATGGGAGCGACATCAAATCACATGTTTGAACGTTTGAAACCACAAAAAGCTTGCAAACGCGCGGCTAATGTTAGCCGACATACGCCGAATCGCGATTCCGGCCAAACATGGTCTCGGAAAAGAGGTCACAGGTCAAAGGTCATTGGGGTCAGGGTCATGAAATTTTCAGGGTGGGTGTAAAATTGATCAATGCGAGGGTACTGAAAGTTTCGTTGCGATCGGCCGCTTTTTACGCGAGTTATTCGCGAAAAACCTTAGGGGGGGTTGCATCAACCCCCCCTGTGCCGGCGAGGGCTAAGAGTTCCCCAGGATAATATATCGAGGATATTGGGGGTGTTAGACTCCCCATGGATATTCCGGCTCGATGAATGACACCTACAGGGTGAGCTATAAAGATTTACCCATCGAAAATTTCACTTTGTTTCAAGGCGCGCTGACATAGCTATGTCACCTTTTATATTCATATAACAACTTCATCTCCTAACTAATAAATATAGTCTGTTTCTGTATGCTCGTATTCTTCTTGTTACGCGCCCGAGACGCGAGAGCACTATGGCACGCGGCCGCCGCACCGTCGTTTCAATTATTTTTCTCGATCATCCACGCTATAATGATCCTGCCACACTGCCATGAAGTGTGGCAGGTGGATGTCCGACTGGACGGACGTTCCCACCGCACTGCCCCAGGGGTCACCCCTCTCGCCCATCTGCTTCAACGCCTACTTGCAGCCCATCGCCTCCATCATCACGCCTGACAACGCAATCCTTTTGTGCTACGCAGATGACATCACCATCGTCGCGTGGCACAGGGACATCTCCTCAGCAATCGGCACCGCTCAGGAGGTGGTCAACAACGTGAAGGCCGCATGCGACCATCTCGACATGGTCATCAACCCTCAGAAGGCATCCGTCACTGTCTTTGGGAAGCGCCGCCCCACCCAACCGTTGAAAGCGGTGGTCTACGGGGGTGAACCCATCTCCTACTCTGATCAAGTAAAGCTGCTGGGCGTGACGCTGGACCCGGCCCTCACCTTTAACGCCCACGCCGACTCAGTGCGCAGCAGATGCGTTCGCGCTCTGTCAACGCTGAAAGCGGCCTACAGCAGGGGAGTTGACTTGAGACGGATCAGTCATCTCTATCGCTCGCTTGTCCTCTCTCGAATCACCTACGGACTCGAGATCATCAATCCGCTGAAGACAACGATGGACAAGCTCGAGCGGATCCAGAACAGCGCTCTCCGACTCGCCACCGGGTGCCCCAGACAGACGCCGGTCACTGCGCTGAGGTACATGTTTGACCTGCCCTCCATCGTCGACCTACACGAAGTCCTACGAGCCAGAGCGGTGTGCATCGTCGCCTCCGACTGCGGCCATCCCTTGCACGGCTTCGTCGACCAAGCCCTGGCACGCGCTCCACTGGCACGTCTGCAGCGCACGGGCTGGCTGCGCGATGGGACCAAAGCTCTGCGCGGTCTCTGCGGTCGGCACAAGATCCGCAGATCTCCCCTGTGGTCTGCGACGCCTCCCGCCACCAGATGCCGATGGACCTTCAAGATCGACCTCTTCAGCCGCACCGACCGTGAGCTACCACCACACGTAGTGAACGCCATGTTTGAGGAGGTCCTGGCCGACACCAGCAGTGAGCTCCCACAGCCCCTCGTCGTCCTGGCCACTGACGGTTCTGTCACCACAAGCGCCCCAAGATCTGGATGGGGGTGTGTGATGAGGGAGTCAGACGGCAGCCTGCAGACCCACCGTGGAGGCTGCAACCTTCGCCTCTCTAGCATGAGGGCTGAGCTGGAGGCCATCTTCCGCGGTCTGGATCTTGCCAGAAGCGCCCACCCTGATCTAGCCGCGTGCATCATCTGCACCGACTCTCAATCTCTCCTGCGCAAACTAGAGAGCGGATCGGCTCCTCCGGAGTGGCACGACCTCCCTCAACAAGTCGTATGGGTATACTGCCCAGGGCACGCCGGAGTCCAACTGAACGACAGAGCCGATCACCTGGCTGGCAGCGGTTCTGCTTCCGACTACCTGGAGCTCGGGACGCAGGACATCCAACTCATCATACGGGATCGACAGCTGAGCAGCCGCGGCGACGGGTCGTGGGAGGAGAGGAGGATGAGCGAGAGAGGCCTTCAGCGGGGTTGGGTGGCGAAATCCACCTCCCGTGGCCGCGCTGCCCACACGATGTGCCAGCTAGCCACTGGTACTCTCTCCCGAGCGGCGCTGACCAGGGTGTTCCAGCTAGGAGGAGCAGAGGCTGCTTGGGGCCAACTATTGGGCCTCCGCCGGCTAACGACGCTGCCGCTCGACCAGTAAGACCAGTAAGTAAGTAAGTATAACAATGCTGCGCCGTATGTCATTTCCGGTGTTTCAGGGACTAGGTAGAGTAGGGTTTTCAGGATATTTTAGTTTGCGAAGCCCGTGGGGCTGAAGTCGGGGATAAATTGTGCCCAGTATTCTTTAGAACAAGGAGTGTTCAGCAGGCAACACCCAGTGGTGATTCCTGAATTTCAGGAGCGGCGGATGTGCGTTAACCCGCGCCCCGTTGGGCTCTGCCGAGCAACGCGCCCGGTTGGGGGGGGGGGCATTTTGGCCCCCCCCCCCTAAGATCTCGAGAACCACGCAACATAGCGACAAGCGGTAAACGGCGTTGGATAGCCGCAACGGGGAACTACCTTGTGACCCAATTTTATTGACCTAGGTCAAACCGATGACGTCACAGGTCAGGTCAAAGGTCCAATTTTCACCGTTTACAGGCACTTCAAGAAATGCGTTGTAAAATCGAGTAAAATGCATTTCATTGAAAATCATCGATGGGGAAATGTTCTTCAAACACATATTTTGCTATTTGAGGTCACTGATACCAGGTCAGGTCACAGAGGTCAGGTCACGGGGGGGTCACAATATGAAAGTGTCGTGTGATACATGTTTTATGGTCCATTTTACATGACAAATGCGATTATATGGGTCAGGCAGCCTTTGGGGCCAGCTTAGATCACGTTTTGGTCAAGGTCAGGTCAAGGTCAGGTCAAGGTCAGGTCAAATTAGGTCAAATTTCAAAGTTAATATTTTTGCATAAAATGGGTATTGAATCGATGCAGCTCGTCACGGGGAGTTCAATGGTGGTCTTTGTTTTGCCGTACGTGGTCTAGAATCGCTAAAAATTGAGTTCAAAAATTTGACGTCATCATTTTTGAACAGTTTTTTCGCTATAACTTGGCCAAAAAACGAGATATCGATCTGAAATTTGGTATGTATATAGAAGAGCGCTGGGACTATCACATATATTCCGGTTTTTTCGAAATTCGGAAAAATTGTGGATTTTTTCAAAGTTTTTCTAAAAAAATCAATTTTTTGATTTTTTTTTCGTCAAAAACCAAAAATTTTGAAAATCCGAGATAACAGTTTTGTAGCGCCGCTTTTTGTCTACTAGACCATATAAAGAACTTTGAAATTGCTTGATAACTGTAGATTTGGTGAGCGTTTCAAGATTGCATGTTTTTTGCTCATTTTTGCTCGAACATGACCTCAGTTTGACCTCAATAACTCCTGACCTAAGGTGACCTAAGACTTGAAATTTGGTGTGAAGGTGTCAAATTAATGCCCGGGAAGGTACTGAAAATTTGGCGGCGCTGCGCGCCGCCTTTTTCTTGCTATTCAGGAAAAACCACAGGGGGGGCCAAAATGGCCCCCCCCCCCCAACGGGGCGAGGGTTAAGACGACCTCGCATTTCAGGAGCGTAGCAGAGACAGTGGACGAGCATATACAAACTGAACTACACTGTCAGGATTGGAGACAAATTTGCGGCATATATGCAAAAGATGGCATACCTACGCTAACCCGTTTGCAAATAAAGTGAAATTTTCGATGGGTAAATCTTTATGGCTCACCCTGTATGTAACTTGTCCGCAGTATCCACAAAATTTACGGGTATCTGGAAGGTGCATGGAAAGATTCCGAAACAAAATCTATTTTTTATAGTGGCAGTGTCTCGGGGATGACTAACACCGTTCGTATTCTTTTGGTAATTCATGTAGTTATAAATGTTATTGTTTAGCTGGGACAGAGACATTCTAGCATAAAAATATAAAACACCAGCTTCGTTTATTAGTTACGGAAGCTTTCGAAAGACGTTCGTCTTTCTTCGTCAGCCTGTCTTAAAAGCACTTAACACGCGCACCGGCGGGGGGAGGCGGATATCCGCCCCCCCCCCCCCTGAGGTTTTTCGCGAATAGCGGGACCATCTCGTCCACGACATGTCATCCCGGCCCCACCCCGTGCCGTGCTGCCACCACACCACCGAACGCCACTGACCAGCCCTAAGGTGTCGGCGGGTGTGCCTCTTTTCTACGGCCATTTTCCAGCGGCCGGCCGGAGCCAGTCGCGGGAGGCGCTGCTGATTGGTCCGTGCGTAACGCGAGAGCCGCAGTGGCGTCTGCTGATTGGTCCGTGCGTGGCGCGAGAGCCGCAGAAGCGTCTGCTGATTGGTCTGTGCGTGGTGCGCGTGCCACCGGCGCCGTCTGCTGATTGGCCAGCTGCCTGGGCTGCGCCGTCTTCTGGCCGCCTTGGCCGGGACGCTCCACCTCCTGGTCAGTGGACGTGGCGCCGGCCGAGCGTAGCCGCAGGACCAGTGGCGGCTTCTGGTCCTATCTGTCCGTATAGTTTTGAGACACCAATCCGTAATTTTGTTAGAAAATCACACTTCTTTGTTTGTAAGAATTACTTTTTACTACAGCAATAAAGAGTAATTTTCGCATCATTCATTTTCGTTGATTAATAATAATGGATTCAAAATTGGCATCCATGTAATGTGTACCGCTCTTCAGTAGGCATTCAAATAACAATACAAATATATGCACAGCCATGCCATTTATTAATATGACTCTTAACCCTATTAGTGGCAGGGGGGGTTGTTTTTATCCACCCCTCAGGTTTTTCGGAAATATCTCCGAAACCGCTGAAGCTACGGTGCTGAAATTTTCTGACTTTTCCTAAAACTAAATTGGGCACATTCCCTGAAAATTTCAAGTTCATAACTTTACCAGGGACGGCTCCAGAGCACTGGGAATTGGGGGTCCTATTCGTGAAGCGAGTCATTTGGGCGAAGATCACGATGCTGCACCAGTTTTACGAACAGTGAATGAAAGGTATCATGTGATAACATATACAAAGTTATTGTGCATCCTCTTTTGACACGTTTTTGCTATAATAGGTGCATCCAGGCGTCCAAAAAGGGGGGTTATTTTTTACCTCCCAACATAGGTGCCCTGACACCGCCTATGCATGACCAATACAATTTTAGTCGTTCTCTCATAAGAAAATTGTAACATAACAAGACCATTGCCACCCTTTTTAGAAACAGTGCCAACAAAAACCTTATTTACTATACTTTTTGTGTACCCCCAATCTCAAAGATCTGTATCCGCCTATGATTTTTGAAAATGCATATTTTTAGGATCCATGTGAATTCCTGGTTCATTCTCTATCGATCGGCAAAAGTTGCGTTAAGATTGGTTCAGAAACCTGGCCGTGATAAACAGTCTAAAATGTATCTGCAATTTGCCCGTTTTTACCCCCCTCTACCCCCCTATTGACATTTTTTAATTTCATTTTTTTTTTTAGAAATGTAGATCTCGTTGAGCCAAATCGAATGCCGTTTGAATTTTGAAAATCGGCCGGTTAGATCTCGAGATATCAAGGGGGGTCGTAAACAGCCCCCCCCCCTGCCACTAATATGGGGTAGCCAGGAGCCTGCCACTAATAGGGTTAAAAGGAAAAGCGTATCTTCAGAGGCTGCATTTTTATTGTTCTTGGGACCCATCCATATGACAACAAATCGATTATAACATAAGCATAGACGTCCTTCAAATTGCAGTATCATACCACAAGTGCGCTGTGTATCGTTATGCCACAGGCGATACAGGGCTCATGTCAACTACAATCAGACGTACCCGTGAGTCCATCTCCCGCTCGCTAAGCCTGTTGTATGTGAGTGAGTGGTCAGTACGGGGAGGCCGATGGCACGCCGCCGCCGGCCCGGCCTGACCAGTGGAGCGTCTGGCTATCGTCCAGCCGTGCACGGTGTGTTCCGTTTCCGGCGGGCTGAGTCCCTCGGCCGGGCCGGGCCGCGAGTTACCTAAGTGTGGAACTACAAGTCGATTCTCGGGCTCTGATTGGTGACTTTGGTCGGGGGATGACGCTTATAGCATGACGTCACTCGCGTACTTGGCCGGACCAACGGCGCGGCGCAGGCGCGCCGAGCCAACCCAGAGGCTCTCAAACTCAATTGTACAGATCCTGCGCATTGAAGGGCGAAACTTCGGCGAGTTCGCTTGAGTTTGGAAGCCCCTGCAAGAGAGCTGGAGACGGCCGGATTATTTGCTGGACAGTGGGCAGCGCAGATGGCGATTGACGGTGCCAAAAAGATGATAGGGAAAAAGGGGTTGAGACTTGAGCAGTGAATTATAAGCCTGTTGCATAGCTGAGTGGTAAATTGTGAAATACTTAAGGTTTGAAGAGATGCAGTGTAGTTTAGCCGACTCAGGGGCATTCTGCCGAGTTATGTAAGGCGGAAGGGTCGCAACTCGCAAGTCGTTTGTTTACATGATTGCCTGATTAAAATTATTTATATACACTGTGATTAAAATGTAAAGCGTACCTAATGTTTAGTTGATAATACAGCGAGGTTGGGCATCTGCTCAATCCATTTCTTCTCTGCAATAGTGCATTCGCCACTGTAATTCATTGTAAGAGGCACTGGGCTGCGCCGCCTGTTAATTATTCCGAAACCACCAGTGAATTGTCACAGTCACTCACAACAATACGAATCGTTCAGTCGTGCGCTGGGGGTCCGCCAAGTTTGAGTGTGCTGCAGAATGCAGACTGGACCGCCGATAATATAACACTTCCGTCTCCCTGGGCGAGCGGCGCATTGGAGCCGAAGGAAACTGCTTCAGTTTTTTTTTTTGTGGGGAAGATACCCATGTTTGAAAATTATGTTCTGGAATGATGCGATAAGTAAAAGGACGGTTTCTTGATTTGAGGGCTGTGGAGAAGAAGCAGATTTTCTCATTTGCTACCCGATGCAACGCGAAACGACGCAAATGTTGCACATTGGGCTTAATAAGTCTAATAAAAGATAAGGGACTTCGTGAATCATGCCTAACTGACCGCGACCCAGTTATTTGCCACTGCAGGTAGGTACTAGGTAGGTAGATACTCATTTGTAAACAGAGCGTTCCACCAACCCTCGCCAGAAATTCAATCAGCAGTTGCTTATCTTAAAACGTTTGAGAGCACCTAACAACCTTTAAAAA